GTATGAATTATGGTGCATGTGGGAAGCGCATAGCATGAATTATGAAGTAAGAATCCAAGGTCCCAACTGCCCTAAAAACTAGCAACTTATTTGGAAAATGTACATACTTTAGAGACCGATCTTCTTTTTTGGGTAATAAGTTTCGTTGAAACTTTGAAAATAAGTAATTACAGTATATATTCGACATACAAGTTCATAAAAGTTATTTCACCTGGAATGTATGGAATTATATAAAATCACGATTAGATATACAAAAAGTGTAGATTACTATCAAATGCTTAAATTGATAAAATGCCTAGTCAGTCTTACGGCATCTTCAAGAAACTTTTTAAATATAGTATGCTTTCTACTTTACATGGTCGATTCTTAAAGTTATGTTCCAAAAGAATATTTAAATTAGCATTTTAATTTAAGGAGTGGGTTTGACTCTCCAAATTTAGAGATTCAAAATCACTCTCAATAATTAAATGTATTCAAAATATTTTACTTTTCAACGAAGGAAAATAATATAATAATATGAAGGGAACCTAGTGAGAACAAAAGATAAGAAAAACAATAAATATTTTCTACGAGTAGTAAATTAAGCCCTTGATCCCCATTTTTTTTTCATCAATCTACTAATCCAAAATACATTCTACACAAAAAAAAAAAAAAAGAAATGGGGCTCAAACAAGATGCAGGTCTTTTGAAGTGCTTAAATTTTTTTTACTCTTTAAATATGTAGATATTATCTAAATTGTAGAATATACTATTTAAAAATAGAGAGTTCCTCGGAGTACACGATAATTTAACATTAAACCTAATGTAACTGTTAGTTAGTAATAGATAAGATTAAATGGGATAATAAATAAAATTTTAATTTTAATCATTTGCATTTCTAGTTAACTTATTTGCACCATTTTTCACCCTTTATTCCACGTATCTCATTTTTTACCATATAGGCAATGCTAATGTGCATAATTTAAACCTTAAACGGAATATAATAAAGTTCAGGCTCATGTAAGACGAGTTTACAAACAATTTAAAATAGTCTAATAATTAGCAAACCCTCCTTTTAGACAATCTTGAACAATATACTATCCCTGTTTGGTAGGTACTAAAATCAACTTTCAACCACAATTTGCATTAACTTTTATCAAAATTTATTAAAAATCTATTTTCAATCTCCACTAAACAAGGGTATATCTTTGATGAAATCTATGAGAGTTGACATTATCATTACCTTAAGGTTTAAATCAACGAGAACTTACGTTGGTTGGTTAGAATACGACATGCACATAAAGCAAGTAAAATTTTAAGGAAGTTGAAGTCCCCACACTCATCCCATTTTATCCAAAAATGATCTAAATTTGACATCCTAAAACGAATATGGCTTATTTACTACATGTATATAAAATATCTAAATTGCTCTTTTCATGTACCTTTCCTTGGATCCTTTGGGAGTAATTGTTTAGTTACTAGGACAGGGTAACAGAGACCACCTCACAACATTTTTCATGTTCACGAGCCTAATTCACATGTTTTTCTGAATTTCACGGCCTCATTCCTACTACTACTCACTCACCTTCATCCCATGCCTCTCTCTCTCACACACACACACAGGCGCACACACATGAAGAATCGATATAAGTCTGTACAGGCTTAGACCATACAATAAATCTGGGAAATTCCATTCCCATGTGATACTAGTAACAATTAAGCTCGCTTTGTAAGTGGGGAAAAAGAAGATAAACTTCGCACCAGCCATCTCTACTGGAATGTCATAAGAGATTGGGACCTTTTTGTTTCCACGGTCACCCGAAAAAGCCATATCCTCGAGAAAAGCATCCAACGATGAGAATGCATCTAAAGACTAAGTCAATGTCTTTCCCGTTATCCATTTTGAGTCCAACATGAAATAAGCTAAGGATCAAACTTCAAGAGGAAGAACAAACATAATATTAGAATGAATTAGAGATGAACAAGATAGTCCTGAACAAGTAAATGCAGCGATCATACAATTGAACATTGAAATCAAAAATAGATGGCGAAAGAATTACCACCATGGCTGCAATAGATCTAGAAATCTAATTTTCGATTAAAAAAATTCCGATCTAGAAATCTAATTTTGAACTAAGATCACCTCTAAACAGTGTCATCAAACCTCCATTCGTCTCTACACGTGCAGGAACACTGG